GGAGGAAAAAAAACAGTCGTATTTAACAGAGAGAATGAACACAGAGCTGAAACATCCTTTATATTGCAAATCAGACATCAAGTTCACATTCTACCAATGTATAATGATGGCAAGAAGTGGCCAAAAATGGAAATCTGTACTCAATCAAGGTCATCAACTGTTGGAATAAGTGCTATCCCAGAGATGCTACATACTTGCTTGTTAAACTACTAATCTAGAAATTATCGTTGCTGCAGACGCTTCTGATTATGGCATTCTTGTCATTATTTTTTACTGTTTTGCTGATAACAAGAAGAAGACTTCTCGAACTCTAAATCCAGCGCAAGATAAATACAAGATTGACAAAGAAGGGCTGATACTGCCACAAATTCCTACATGACAGGAGGTTTACTTTATCTGCCGACTACAAACCTTAGTTAAAAGAAAGTTACTCCAGCATATACTGTAACGGGAAATAATCTGGAAGTCCTTCTCGATCACCCTATTTGAGTGTATTGACATATACCAGGTGTAATGTTATTTGACTGTCTTCTTTGGCTTTGCTCCAAGTGTTTTCCTTTGTATGATTGAGATTTATAATGACGTTGGACTGTTGACAAGGTGATGTTGTTTTACTGTATCCGACATTTTGTTTTGATTTAACTTACAGTTGTACTGTGATTTGACTGTCTATTGGGAAACTTATTTGTTGATTTGATTCTGGTAGACAGAGTTTTGATCCCCTTTTTTTTGTCAGAAATATTCTTATTGACCCTCAGGTATTTAATAATCGCATTAGCTTAACCAGTTTTTAGCGTTATAGTACATATTTGCACACAAGAACGTTTTGGACTGTATAGTTACCCGACAGCACTGTTGAGGTATTTTTGTAGTTTCAGCAAAACTCATTGTTGCTTTCATAGTACCACAGATTTTGTTACGAATCTACCACTGATTAACTACAAACTGTTTTAATATCTTTAATCCAACCTTTGACTATGCGTCACTCGCGGAAGTTCGGAAGCTATACAGTAGACCGCAGGAACTAGTCAAATTCATGTCAGTTGGCACTACCTAGTTACTTCCCGCGTTCAGGCTAAGATTATTGGATTTTGGCTGTTATGTATTCCGCAAATCGTCATCACAGATGGGTGTTGAACTTCTGCTGTGGTCTATCACATACTTCCTTGAAGGCTTACAACTTGATTTTGAAAGCTTCTTGCACTAGATAATGGTCTAACCCTACATCTGCTCCTCTTCTTGATCTTGTGTCCAGTAGGCTGGCTGCGTCTCCACTTTATTCATATTCAGATGAAGTCGATCTGATTTTTAGTGTGTCTGTCTGTCTGGTGAAGTCCATGTCGGTCGGTTTGTGAATATCCTTGTGTCTGTACACACTGCCTCCAATAACTAAATCGTTGAATACACAGAAATCTGCATACGGTTCACCGTTCTCATTCATTTCACCTAGTGCTTCTCGACCCACAATGAGTTCCCTTCCTGTGTTGCCCGCTCCCAGTGCTAGGTAGTTGTCGTCTGAGTGACAATATCGGAGTAGGTTGTTCACTCCTCTCCAGTCAACAGCTTAGACAGTCTACTTCCACTCCATCTACTTTCGCAGATTCCTAGCACTGCTATGCCATACCTCCTCATCTCGTTTGCAATCTGGGCAGTCTTAGCAGGTTCATACATGATGCGGACATTCTATGACCCCACTCATGTGTATTGTCTCCTTGGTTGTTGGAATAAAGACTATGGTGTATTGTGTAGAACAGTGAAGGTGAAATGTCTCCCTTAAAGATCTTAACAGGCGATTTTAAAGATTTCAGCTGCAATTTCACTTTTGATTTCCACATTCTTGTCGAGATGTTTCTTTCAGACAGTGTGTGGATTCCGAATTTCTCGTTTTTCTTTCAGCTTTGAGTTCACAAATTTAACCGTTTCAGACTAGGATATTATAAAGAAATCGTAGCTCACTATCCAGCAGATCTATAAAACAGTTTACATAAGTTATGTTCACGTCTAAAAGTAAAGTTTACAGTCTAACATTTCGAAGAATTGACCACAAGACTATTCACGGAGGACCATCTTCTATCAGTAGGTAGGAAATCATTCAGTTGAGAATAATCTGTTAAAGAGGAGACAGGTTAGGAACGGAAACTGTTGGATTCCAAGCACTTCTATGCCATACCTTCTCATCTCTTTTTCTGTCTGGGCAGTCTTACCAGGTTCATACATGATGCTGACATTCTATGACCCCACTCTTAATTTCGCTTTCATCGAGAGGAGACATATCGTCACATTGGCTTCCCGAAGGTTTTCACCAACCGGCGTCATCCCGTCTCCCCGATTCCAGTGAGGAATACGTTCGTTTTTATGTTTTATATTTCCTTTGTGCTTCGAAGTTTCTTTAGAGATTGGATTGGATTGGATTGGTTTTACGGGATAGGGTTGCTAGCCCCATGCCGAGCCCAACCTCACCTCTTTACCCGAGTTTAGCACCGACTAGTAACTAGTGAATTCGTTAACCAGGCGAGATTTTGCGTAGGCTTATAGAACTAACTCTAAATCCACCGGAACATAAATACAAGCAGATTGACAAAGAAGGACTGACACTTCCACAAATTCCTACATGATAGCAGGTTTACTTTATCTACCGACTACAAACTTTTATTGTCAATATTTAGTTCAAAGGAAGGTATTCCAGTATACACTGCAAATCATCATCATCATCAATATGAACATAGGACCAGACATTACTGCGTAACAGTCCGAGTTGCCACAGCTCATAATGTTAATACATCAAGTAGAAAGGTAGTGAGTGAGGTGAAGGATGAAGATAAGAGAATGCAGTCAAAAGGGATATAAAGTAGTCAAAGAGAGGGAGAAAGGAAGAATGAAACAATGGGGAGAATCGGTATATAGTCGTTAAGATGAGGATGATGTGTGTGGAGATGCATCTGTACCACTGACATCGGTTGTGAGCCATACCACCTAGAGTCTCCAGCCACTGGTTCCTCTTGTCCCGTGGACCCCAACCACCTTATCTGCAAATCATCATCAAAAATGGATTGTTATGTTGTTAGGATGTAATTTTGACACCAAATACAAGTCAACCTTTCGAATTTGGCCAAATAGATCCTTTATGACATTTCTTGAGTAGTCAGACGTTGGATAATGAATATAATGTAAGCAGAATTCTTGTACATCTACTAGTCTACTATTTCCAGTGACTGCAGATCAAGTTGCTTATCACATTCTGCATGATCCAATTCTGAAACATGTCTCTAAATTTATCCCAAGTGTCTGGCCCTTGTATTATTATTTTCATGAATTAAAGCAGTTTTATTAATGAAATCATTTCTTGTCGATTATCAACGACTGTATTGATTCTGACTAGTGTCCACAGAAATGACCTCCATCTATTCATAGTTATGTATACTGAACTAATAATGATGAACATATCACTGGTGTTGTTCAACAAATGTGTACAAGCACTCGAATGCCCACCAAAGATAGAAGTATGTTCTTGGCCAATACCAACACAACTGCAGTCTCGTATACATGTCAACTTTACTGGACCATTCTTCGAGAGCGTCGACCGAGAAGTAATTTGACAGGCAGTTGTTTCAACACTACAGAATACCACAAACCTTTATCAATCTCATTCAACAGCTAAGCTATATGAAGAGGTCACATGCCAAGTAATTCACAAGGGAGAAGCTCAGTGATGCTTTTGAAATGAAGTGAAGACAAGAGTAAGACAAGACAAAGTTGACTACTATCACGCATGATATTCCTGATTGTGGTCGACTGGATCATGCAGCAAACCATGAGGAGCGAGAAGATGGCCATACACTCGCTGTTTGACCGATGAAAAGACACTAGAAGATTTGGATTTCTCCGATGACTTGTGTCTAGTGTCACACAAACTCGAAGATCTAAAGGTGAAAAATAAAACAAGTTGACAGAAGAGGCAAAGCAGCGAAGACGGGACTTCAAGTGAATGTAGAGAAGACGGAGGTGATGATGATACCCAACCAACGCCATAACCACCAACAACAAGTTCCAATCACCATCAATAGGAGAAACTTCAAGGAAGTAGTCTCTTTCACCTACCCACCTAGGAAGCACAGGCACAGATGAGGACGTCAAAGCCAGCCAGGATAGGAAAGACAACAAGACAAGCCTTCCTGCATTAATCTGAAATCCGTATGGAGATCTACCGCACTGCACTCAGCATAAAGCGTGAACAACATCCGGATTTTCAACACTAATTAAGGCAAGTCAGTGCTTCTATGTGATGGTTGAGAGAGTTGGCACGTTACGAAAAGCATTTCCAACAAACTACACACATTCACCAACAGCTGCCTACGCTGGCTCGATATTGAGGATCAGATGGCCAGAATAATAAGAATAAGCAATAAGGAACTCTGAGAACGAACCAACCAAGAACCTACCACCCAACAAATATGCACTGGAAGGAAGTGGAGATGGGTTGGGCATACACTGAGAAGGCCGACTGGGAGCATCATGTGCCAGGCCAGGCTGTCGAGTGGAATCCAAAGGTGAAACGATGAGTCGGGTGTCCCAGTTGGGGGTGACATGGAGGAGATAGTGTGAGGAAGAAATAAGAGCTTCTGAGCAGTCGTGGAGCCAGGTCCAAAACGTCGCAGAGAACAGAATGGAATAGAGACATGCTACTGAAGCCCTATGTTCCATTAGGAACCCAAGGGACAAATAATAATATAATAATACGAACCAATGAGACAAGGAATTACATTCCTTTATTTTTGTGGAAAAGTACTATTCCAGGTAAAATACGAAAACCTGATTGGTCATTTCAGTTGTTGCTAGAGTGACCTTTAAACTTACTCCGAAGAACACATTATGCATAAATACTATTTAAAAAAAGGGGGGGGGGAAAGCTATTTAAGAGTAGAGAAAACTAGTACAAAGATGAGAGAAATACTTTATACAAAAACAAGTTAAAAAAAACCAGTAAAAATATACATACATAATTATAAATCATCATCTGTATTTATTGTACTATTGAACTCATTCGTTTTATCAACAGTTACTAGGCTATAAGGAAAATGCCAATTGGATGCATAATTAACAAATGTATCAATTTTATTCAACGATATAGATCGACGTAGATCGGCAAAGAAACGATAATATTGATGAGAATTATGTCTGAAAAGAAAGAAAGCATGAAGTTGAATCTCTTTCACTATATATATATATATATATATATATATATATATATATATATATATAAAGTTATTTATCGTAGACTGACATCAGTTGAAGAGGGACAAATGAAACCTGGGAGCACTGGACAGCTGTTTCGTTCGACTAGTGTATGGCTTTCCTCAGCAGTGCGCACCCACGACCCCGCACCACCAGCGATCGAACCCGCCACCTTCAGATTCCATGGCTAGCAACGTTACCATCGAGCCACTGGGTTCATATTTTCAACTTCTGTTAGCTCACGATATATATAGCGCAACTGCCACCCAATATCATCGTTGAGTAACTGTCCTCACGACCATCAAGCTTTGCCCCACCTCTAACTGATGCCAGTCTACGATGAATAACAATTTGAAATATTTCCAAATCCCCACAACTCCTTCAAAATTCAATTGAACTGGTGCTCATTGGTGACTAGCTTCGAAAGATATTCCCGAAGTTCCAATGAGAAGTCGTGACTGGTGGGGGCAAAGCCTGATGGTCGTGAGGACATTTACTCAACGATGATATTGGGTGGCGGTTGGGCTATATCATGAGCTAACAGAAGTTGGAAATATGGACCATTGGATTCTGACCTAGTGGCTCAATGGCAACGTGCTGGCTACGGAACCTGAAGGTGGCGGGTTCGACCGCTGGTGGTGCGGGGTCGTGGGTGTGCAGTGCTGAGGGGTCCCATACCAGGACGAAACAGCTGTTCAGTGCTCCCAGGTTTCCTTTGTTTCTCTCCAACTGATGCCAGTCTACGATGAATAAGAACTTGAGATATTTTTAAATCCCCACAACTCCCTCAAAACTCAATACATATATTATAAGTTAACTATAAAATGTGTTATCCAAAACACCTCAGACTAAATATCAAAGGTCAGGTAACGCACTGACTACGCTACTGGAACGAAATACCTGTCCAATGCTTCCAGGCTTCTTATATTCTTTCAACTAATATCAGTTCATGAAGTTAGACACTTCAATGGAGTAGTGAAGTATTTTAATCTGACTACATCCAACCTTCTTGTAGTTTAAACCTACTTTAGGCGATATTGTGCAATGAATTACGTGACGAGTAGCTGAGTGTTACACATGTCTCAGACATGTAAGTCGATCAACATTCACATAGCCACATCGACTAACATACGTCTTTTAACTACATCTGACTTCTGAATTACTGATGTGCTAGTACTACGATACATGGTCTGAGGTGCGAGTCGAACATCTGAGACCATCTCATTTCCACCTATAATGGTCATGTAAATAGACAAATGGATATCAGAACTACGCTACAATTAGCATAATTTGATGAAAATCCCTCAAGCTCCTTAATATTTCTGTCAAGATCTCGTCAATCACTTCCCAGGTGAATTGGTCAGTGTGCTCAGTATCCTTAGGTGGGGAACCAATGGAAACTAATTGTCAAGGTACAGTTTGCAATTGATTAGTAACGAATACACACCAGATATTCTCAAATTGCACTCAATATGGCTAAAAGACTCTGTATCTTGGCGATATCCCCGTCAGCTAATTCTAGGTACAATTAAAAGTCTACTGCAACAAGGTAAGTCCCTGTAAACTGAGGTAATAAAAAGAGAGATGATGACAAATGTAACTCACCGATGAAGTAAAACGCTTTACCATAATCTTGAACAGTTTTGCCTCGAGGAAATTACAACTGTTATGTAGGAGGTGAAGGCTTGAATAAGTGCTTTACGATTCATTGAAAGTCATTATCAAAATGGTACCGAACATGACTGCAATACGCTTGAAGTAAAGCCGTCAGTCTACAACCACTGATGGCTTCTCTTGTCCCAGGGACCCCAACCACACAGACTGCATCGCCCCACATGCCTCAAACCAACAATCAGAAACTTCATACATTGATGCCATGTTTCAGTCTGGCCACCCCTCACCTTTTCCCAGCCTGAACCTACTTCAACTAACATTGTGTGACGAGACAAACGATGGTTAGGTATGCGTAACACATATCACAACCAGTTATCTCAGTCAATGAAGGCTTCAGAACAGCATCAACTCACCTCTCTTGCCTAAAACTCTACGTCTGACTTCCACACCACTCATGTGGCGATACCACACGACACACTGTGATCAAACACCTGAAGCTTTCTCACATCCTCTACCTTTAATGGCAATGTTTCACAAACAAACTGCAGCACAGTACACTCAACCATCAATCGACTATTGGATATCACAGCGGTGTCATAGATGGCGGAAGTTGGTAAAAGTCAATCCATCCTTTTGTATTCTTTCCAAGATTCCGTCAACCACTTCCTAGTGTTAGTCGCCATCCAACTATCATTGAAAATTGTCCCAGTTCATAAAAGTTCAATCAATCAATATCAACGTAGGACCAGGTATTACTGCGTAACAGTCCGAGTTACCACAGCTCATCTCATATCACTACGTCAAGTAGAAAGGTAGTGAGGTGAAAGATGAAGATAAGAAAATTTAGTCAAAATAAATATGAAGTACTCAAAAAGAGAGACAGAAATAAAGAATAAAAAGATGGTGAGATTTGGTATAGCGTCATTAAGATGACAAGAATGTGTGCGGGGATACATCTGCGCCACTCACATTGGTTCTGAGCCATACTACCTGGAGTCTCCAGCCACTGGTTCCTCTTGTCCCATGGACCCCAATTACCTAGTCTGCATCGCCCCACATAGTCCAAACCAACAGTCAGAGATTTCATGCATTGGTGCCATGTTTTAGCCTGGTCACCTCGGGCCTTTTTCCAGCCTGGACCTACTTCAGCCAACATTGTGTGACGAGGCAATCGGTGACTAGGCATACGTAACACATGTCCCAACCATCTCAATCGATGAAGGTTCATAACCTCGTCTACTGACTTACCTCTACTCCGTCGCTAAAACTCTATACCTGACTTCTGCATTACTCACGTGGTGTGGTGACACCACGGAATACGGTCTACATACTACGAAGGCAAGGGTGGTCGAACACCTGATGCCGCCTTCTCACATCTTCCACTTTCAATGGCCATGTTTCACAGCCATACAATAGAACAGAGAGGACTGCTGTGCAGTACACGTGACCCTTAGTGGACAAACGGATATCACAGCGGCGCCATAGATGGCGTAAATTGGCAAAAGCCAATTGAGCCTTTTGTATCAGTGCAGATATTTCATCGGCAACTAATTCACCAGTGTTGATTCTACTTCCCAGATAAGTGAAGTGGTCGATACACTCAACACTTTTGTGAATAATTAAACAAAAACATTTCTATACGATAGGTTTAAAAAGAACTCACATCATTAAAAGCATTGGAGCCAACATTTCTTGAGTTGTATATAAATGTGATATGTATACACGTGTATGATGACAACATGCAAAACATTGGCATCCAGGTTGTATAGGTGAGAACTGTTCATCATCAGTATAGGGTTGTTTTAATGGGAATTCTAGAAATCCAGGTTTCGATATATCAATCAACTGGTTATCACCATCATCATCATCATCATCATTCCAATCCGTATATATCCAACCAATTCCACTACGACTTAGTCTATAGGGTAGACTACCATCGAATAAGTCACAACCCGAACGAGTTGCCAGGGCAATATCATACGGTTGCCATATTTGAGTAATGATACGAGGTAGATGATTTGGAATATGCGCAAATATCTTTGGCAAAGTGATGGACAAAAATTCTCTTAAACTTTTAGTATTATTATCATAATCTTTGAAAGGAATTGAAGATACTGGTAGATTTTGAAGTACACCGTCGATCACTACACCTAAATAACCATAATGGAGGAAGAAAACATCCAGATTTATATGAACAATCAATCATTATCAATATATGGACCAAATAAGGTTCAAGTGCCAAGCCACATCTCATATCACTACATCAAATAACTACGCAATAAAATGGAAAATGAAGAAGGAATGAGAAAATATGAGGATAATGTGTGTATACATCTGCGTCAATGATATCGGTTCTTAGCCATATTATCCCCTGAGATCTCTTGTCCCACGGACCCCAACCAACTAGTCTACATCAACCTGCATGGCTCAGACGAATACTTAATTACTTCATGCACTGATGCCATGTTGTATTCTGGCTACCGTGAGCCTTTTTCCAGCCTGAACCTACTTCGGCGAACATTGTACGAGGAGTAAGACGGTGTAATACATGTCCCAACCAGCCATCATCAGTCGATACAGAGTTCACAATCGTATCAACTGACTTACCTCTCCTCCCACAAAGTAATTTATACGTAAACCAAGTAGGGAGTGGTTGACGAAGCAAGATAATTGGTTACACCAGTCCAACGACACATCTCACACAACCGTAAATCAATAATACCAACGACTTCATAATTTCCTTTAACTTGAGGAAAACAAATTAAACTATTATTGATATTCATATCAGTTGTAAAGATTTGCTCAAGTAGGTGAAATGATAGCTGAATATAGAATATGTCACAAAGACCATCGTTTTCAGCTGCGAATACTGATATAGAGTTTTAGGGAGTAAAGGTAAATCAGTTGACGAGGTTATGAACCTTCGTCGATTGAGATGGTTGGTACATGTGTTACGTATGCCTAGTCACCGATTGCCTAGCAGGGGTAGGTGGTCCAGGCTGGAAAAAGGCCCGAGGTGACCAGGCTAAAACATGGCACCAATGCATGAAATCTCTGACTGTTGGTTTGGACTATGTGGGGCAATGCAGACTAGGTAATTGGGGTCCATGGGACAAGAGGAACCAGTGGCTGGAGACTCTAGGTGGTATGGCTCACAACCGATGTCAGTGGTACAGATGCATCTCCACACACATCATCCTCATCTTAACGACTATATACCGATTCTCCCCATTGTTTCATTCTTCCTTTCTCCCTCTCTTTGACTACTTTATATCCCTTTTGACTGCATTCTCTTATCTTCATCCTTCACCTCACTCACTACCACCTTTCTACTTGATGTATTAACATTATGAGCTGTGGCAACTCGGACTGTTACGCAGTAATGTCTGGTCCTATGTTCATATTGATGATGATGATGATTTGCAGTGTATACTGGAATACCTTCCTTTGAACTAAATACTGACAATAAAAGTTTGTAGTCGGTAGATAAAGTAAACCTGCTATCATGTAGGAATTTGTGGAAGTGTCAGTCCTTCTTTGTCAATCTGCTTGTATTTATGTTCCGGTGGATTTAGAGTTAGTTCTATAAGCCTACGCAAAATCTCGCCTGGTTAACGAATTCACTAGTTACTAGTCGGTGCTAAACTCGGGTAAAGAGGTGAGGTTGGGCTCGGCATGGGGCTAGCAACCCTATCCCGTAAAACCAATCCAATCCAATCCAATCTCTAAAGAAACTTCGAAGCACAAAGGAAATATAAAACATAAAAACGAACGTATTCCTCACTGGAATCGGGGAGACGGGATGACGCCGGTTGGTGAAAACCTTCGGGAAGCCAATGTGACGATATGTCTCCTCTCGATGAAAGCGAAATTAAGAGTGGGGTCATAGAATGTCAGCATCATGTATGAACCTGGTAAGACTGCCCAGACAGAAAAAGAGATGAGAAGGTATGGCATAGAAGTGCTTGGAATCCAACAGTTTCCGTTCCTAACCTGTCTCCTCTTTAACAGATTATTCTCAACTGAATGATTTCCTACCTACTGATAGAAGATGGTCCTCCGTGAATAGTCTTGTGGTCAATTCTTCGAAATGTTAGACTGTAAACTTTACTTTTAGACGTGAACATAACTTATGTAAACTGTTTTATAGATCTGCTGGATAGTGAGCTACGATTTCTTTATAATATCCTAGTCTGAAACGGTTAAATTTGTGAACTCAAAGCTGAAAGAAAAACGAGAAATTCGGAATCCACACACTGTCTGAAAGAAACATCTCGACAAGAATGTGGAAATCAAAAGTGAAATTGCAGCTGAAATCTTTAAAATCGCCTGTTAAGATCTTTAAGGGAGACATTTCACCTTCACTGTTCTACACAATACACCATAGTCTTTATTCCAACAACCAAGGAGACAATACACATGATGCAGGAGTTTATAAAATATAAGAGAGGAGGCTAAGTCATACCAGCAGATATTCTCAGCTTCGTAATGTGGAATGTTAGGTGGAAAATTCGCTTTGAAATTACTAAGATATACGGGGACCAGGAAAGGTTCGACGGAAAATATATGCCGAGATAAATCACACTTGTAACATTCTCTACTGCACAACCATCAAGCCATAGAACAGAAATCAAAAGACCTGAGCAGTTTGCATAGGTTGTATTCACACCTAAAAGTAAAGTTTGTAGTCTGAAATGATGAAGAATTAGCCACAAGACCATTCATGGAGGACTGTCCGTCGCTTAAGAGTAGTGAACAAAGTGTTGAAGAGAAGATAAATATAGAAAATGTCAGGTCGTCAGCATATTTAGCAAGATTGATACTACCTGGAGGTGGTGAGTCGTATAGAAAGGAAGAAAAATGACGGGGACAAAGGATGGCTCCTTTGAGAACACCAGTCACAGTAAGCAATGAAGTGGACCACTTCCGTCTGTGAACAGTATATTGTTTCCTTTCAGAGAGAAACAGGAATAGAACCAGGAATCAGTATGATTCCCATGAAGCTTGTCCAAGAAAAGAGGTCTTGGGACAGAATCAAATGCTGAAGTATAGTTTAGAAAGGCACACCTGACATACTTGGCATCTCTATCAAAATTACAAGGAATATTGTGAAATAAGACAGTGATGACATTCATTGTGCTTCTTCTGCTTTCACATGAAAACTGATTATGGTCTCTGAAAGCCTTCAATGAGGGTTCGAGTATAGGTATTAATAGCTTCTCCATTATTTTCATGAATGGAGAAGTGACTGAAATCAGACGGGATTTTGGACATGAGACTTGAGTCGCTGACTTAGGTAAGGGGACTATGTTAGTATGTTTCCAGGCAGGTGGTATGGTGCTGTGTGAAAACGACCTATTGAACATGTTAGTTAATGGATGGCATAGATAGATATCAGTACACTTGGTGAATACGAAGCTTGACATACCATCCGGACCTGAACTATGTGAAGGATTCAAGTTCCAGTGAGACAATTGGAAACGTCTTTTTCAATGATCACCACCGGACAACATTCTTCATTTGGAAATGTTTGGACGAAGTGGGATGGGATAGGTGGATTGGCGTACAGACGACTTGGTCAAAGCATAGACGTCAACATGAGCCTCCGTACTAAGGTGTTGACCAGTAGTGAGTGAAGTCGTTAAAACGTTTCCACATCCTAGAGGAGCCTATAGTTGACAAAGGTTTTGTGGTTTAATTTCCAACCTAATTTAAAACGCTCAATCGGAGAGCATCAGCATTATCACCCACTTTTTATAGTCTTAAGGTGAGAAGATACACGATCGAAGCGTAGAAAAAGTTTCTCACTGGGTTAACAGATACCAACCCACAAGCCACCATCAATATTGTCATTCAAAACATCGCTGTCAAACATGTTCTAGTATGTACATTGTAGTACTTCTCTTGCAGGTGAACTCGTCAAAAATTCCCTCCTAACATCTTCGAGGAAGACATCCGGAGAATTATATTTTCCAACGCGCTGTGGACAGAATATCGCCCTTGGCCATCTCTTTCATATTCATATAGATGAATATATCACTTGACTTGATGTTGTGGAACAATGTAGATAGGTTGTCGACAGGGTGAAGTCGGTAAGCGTATCTTGGAGTGTTGTCTGAAGAAGGAAGAGAGAATGAATACCAATAGTTGTATTGTTGAACATCCTGTTACATCTGGCTCCTGTTAGTATTTCCTTCAAAGTAATTTGTAGAATGCCTCGCCACAATTCCGCAAAGGTCTTGGACTAAGTTATCTGTGGACGCATATAGCGGACTCTTTGGCAATTCACACCTCGTAAACTGATTTCTGCGTTTAAAACGTTAACTAGCATTTATTACTTTCTTTGTTACATCTGTGTTTAATCAAATAATGTTGACTTTATAGTCCCACTATAAGTGAGTGATGTTTCCAAGGCAAAATATATATAATCTTATCACGACATTTCTGTCTCAAGGTTAAGTCTCTGTTGCATTGTATCCAAACAGAACACGTTTGTCAGTCAGCATATCTAATGGATTCTAAATGAACCTGTCGATAAACCATACTATTACCGAGAAGATTGTTTAATCAATGTTTTCACCTAACGAATGGTTCTGCATGCTCCGCATCATCGTTAATCATATTGTAGCTATAACCTAGTAGCCCATGCAGTTAACCGTAAACCTTTGAGTTAGCAGTTCGAACCCACTCCACCTACTAATGAATGATCACATAAGTAACATCATAAACTCTTACAGAATAGGCTTTGGCTCATTGCCAAGTGAGTAACGATGAGCACAGTTTTTGTGAGCTCCCTTCCTGAAGGATTGTATAGCATGGAATATTACGATAGATAGGCAGACAAAATCAATGTAGAACCAGACTAAAGTTGCTACACTTCAGAGTAGTATACAAAAAGTAACTCAATAGAATAATACTGATATCAAAGTGTTTGAACGTTTTGCTTTCTGTAGAATAACTGACAGCTTCTCATAGAAGTCATCCTTTTCATCAACCAAACTGCAGGGGGTTGGTGAGTAGGTGGAGATTACGAATAGGCATCGCCCAGTCTCACAATTCTTCCTGTCTTACAGATCCATTCAGTCGAACACTACATGAACAACTGTTGACTGGTATCCAGTTGAGAAGAGCAGTTTTTGCTCTACAACTCAATGTCTACACCAGGAAGCCCGCGAGAGTTAGCCATTAGGTCTCCGGATACTCGTAAAGTGAATTCCGAAGATTCACCTCACTAGCCAGGTGAGATCAACTTAATAACCACACTCGGGTCCTGTCTTGATAGTTCTGGCGAGCGATGTTTGCTGTAAGATTTCGTATAGAGTTTGGACGTTGAAAGCTCTTACATGAAATCGATGGCTTTCAGCGTTCGAAATGGACGTACAGTGAGAGATTGGTTAAAGGTGTAAGAGGTTTACTATTAGAGCCAGAAGGATGAGTCAGATTTGAAGAGGACAGGTTTTGTTTACCACTGGAAACGTGAGCATGGTTTACACTTCCCGGCTGCCCACACCGTGGAAGGCTAGTTTTACTTCAGAACAAGAGTCCCACCAGCATAGCTCGTTGGGTCATTGTGATATACAAGCCCAACTACCACATCAAGGTAGCAACTACCGTTCGGGTAGACTGATACCTAATACCAGAAAGTTGTCCACTATGCCACTGGGGCATGACAATTACCTTTTGTGCAATAGGTAACAGCTATTATTATTTATTGCTATTTGTAGTTTCCCGTTGTTATACGGGGTTGAACTGCTTGAAATGGTTCGCCCAGAGTGACAGATAAGAAAAAGCAGATCAACATAGAAACTGGTATTAAGGTACGTTGGTTGAATCTGCCACACTTCACAGTAGCATAAACAGAAAAGGTGGATAGAGAGTAACCCACTTAACGAACAGGCAGTAAATATGATCCCGTTAGTTTAAAACACAAAATGTTATATACTGAATCACTGGAACATACCTGAACAAAAAGAGAAATCTGTTTCCGCCACCGACTGAAGACGATAACTGAGATCATGACCACCAGCGATAGATACCAACAAAGATGTCTTCGCTAATTCCTTGAAAATAGCAGAATATAAACACTCTAATTACAGCTGAGAAGTCGCTTCTCGCTTGTTAGCAGTTTATATGAATTAAGGCGACAACTTTTGCTTTATGCAAGTTAGTAAACATTGACATCAGTCTAGTGAAGAAATACAGTAATTTTACGGTTACAATTCAAGTCATTAATAATAATCCACATTTTCTATGTCATTCTTCAAAACTTTGGTGGCGCGGGATCCGAACTCGCGACCCTAAGACGGCGAGCCCCAACGATAACCCACTGAGTCTTGGTGAACCTGACAGACACTGACAAAATCAACGTAGAACCTCCCACACACGTGCCTCACTCCAATTTGCCACAGTTCGCAATGGCATACAAAAAACAGGGGGATAGAAAAAAAACTGATATCAAAGTAGATAAAGGAGTATAAGCGAATAAATAATCCGAAAATACAAGCTTTAGAATATGTCAAGTAGTGAATACATCTGCGCCATCATGATCGACTGATGTCCAGCCATGTCACCAAGCGTCAGTCCTCAACCACTGGTTCCCTTTGTCTCGAGAACCCCAACTAGGTAGTCTATATCTCCTCACATGGGTCAAACCAATCGTTAAAGACTTCATCGACTGATGCGTGGTCCTTATTTGACCATCCTGAACTCTCCTCCTGTCTTATCCAACTCCCCCTAGCAAGGAAAATAGAGGTAGCCAGTAGCCCGGCTTGTAAAGTTAACATCCAGGCCATCTCAGACAACTAAGGTTCACGATGTTATCCATCGGCTTGTCTACCCTGCTTAATCCCCCTGGCCTGACCTCAACATTGCTCACACGATAATTCCACTAATGCTACGGGGACATCTGTGATCAAAACCTAGTAACCGCTTAGTGTCTTGGCAAACCAACAGCAATTAAACAAATGATTAACTGTTGACCTATAGCAAAATGTTATAAACTATCTTTAAGCCTCTTTTAACAGGTTACACAGCTAGTAAGCACTGACGAGTATAGAAACCACCGCATTCGGATTTCCAACACATGTCCACGTCATCGAATCCAGTGCTACACGATGACTTTCCAGTTGATAACCTTCACCTTGTCCAAACACAACTTTGTTGAACATAAAAATCACTTACACAATGCTACTACGAAATGTAAGCAATTCCATGGTGGTAACAGTATTCAAACAGAGTCGCCAGATATACTAAACTCATAGAAAAATCAAACGTTAAGAGTGTAGGGCAGAACTAACCACACTGACATGTTGTTCGTCCACCGTTTAACATACACTGGTATGATAGCGTGTATCGTGTTAAACACTTATCCTAGCACTCATACAACTACGCGGATGCACGAACGTTTTAACTCCATCCAACGGTTCATTATCAGCAGTCAGAGAAGGTACATGTCCCCTTGAAGCTTGGAAAGTTTATTTGCACTTTAATAGTGCTAATCAGATGCCATATCTACGCATACTAACAACCTACTGATTAACCGTGAACTGAGTAGTATGCTGAGATGGTTTGATACGAATACGGAGTAGTGGTTGAAAAATCTTATCTCAGGTGGCCTAACTACGGCGCTATCAGCTATTGTAGAAGTGTCATCAGTGATGCAACGGAAGAGAAAAACCAATTCAAGCAGCTGTGTTTCCTTGTTGTTCAGGGCTTCCAAGAAATTGATAAACTCGTTAACACCACTCATCATTAAGAATCTAGCGAAGCAGTGTAGATTAAGTTAAGGTATACAAAGGTAACCCCCACACCACCAAGAAACACTACAACTGCAAGTTGGTATACATCAGGAACTGATACGGGTTGGAGGAACATTGGAAACCTAGGGGCATTGGAGAGCTGTTTCGTCTAAGTACAGGGCTCCTCAGCAGTGCACACCCATAAAGTGAAAGTAGTGGGGAATATGGACCATTGAACTTCAACCAAGTAACCCTGCAGTAACGTGAAGTTTACAGAATCTGAAGTTCTTGAGTTCAATCCTCGACGGGGTCATGAGCCCCAACTGATGTCAATCCATGATGAATATTATGATGATGAACATGATGAACATTATGATTATTGACAGGAATTAAGTGACGATGTTCAAACACCTAGTGGAATGGCGACAAGTGACAAAATCACTTAGTTTGCTTGTCACACACAAGTTTCTCATGTGTTTTTTATCATCTCCAAAGTACGATAACAGTGAATATTTTGGGCGTAATTAGTAATCGGCTAGTATCCATGTGATTTTCTAATATCATAGGTAAACAATTTTCAAAGATGCCTATTATAATAGGCTTTACTTCATCGTGATAGAACAGTCTAGGCATGCCTCCCAACTGAATACAAGTCTTACCTCTCAAAATATCTGAGTGTAGATTGTATGGACTGGATACCTTGAAGCATTTCCGTAATTCAAGTTCCTCCTCGACTTCGATTTCGTTAAATTGATCCGTGTTAACTGACAAAGGGATCATATTGCGTTAAGGATGGGACAACTAGAGTTACTCGTCAGCTAAATTGTTGTTGGATGCGTTACACCCAGGATTTTAAGCATCTCCGATGACCATTAATTATCGTGTTATCTGACTGATAGCCGTAGCCTTGACGTGGTGGTCGGGTGTGTATATCACGATGACCAACGAGCCACGCTGGTGGAACCCTTGTTCCCTCGAGGTCCTACCATACTAGAAAGGTCTGTTGGATAGTGATTAGACAAAAAGTGGTTACCCTTACCCTTAACATATTCTTAAACAAAGAAATGGTGTATTATGGTTTAGATCAATCATAAGTGGTTAGTGGTGATCCAAAACCATAGGACGTACGTCCAACCACCCTTCTATAATACAGGCGTACGTGACCGGCCTCTAGCAAATGTCCCCTGGGCTTTGCAATCATTCACTAATCCTTCTTTCTCAGGTACCTTAGGAAGATCTAGCTTTCCACGGTGTGGGTAGCCCGCAAGCGTCAACCACCCTCACAACTCTATCAGCGTTCAACTTCAGTCAGACCACAACCCAACTTTCTCATCCTTACCTTCTTATCATCTTCCACATCTCTCAGTTAACAATCCTGCACCATCTTTAATTCCTTCCAGCTCTGCAGCTTTCGACAACGATCTTAGTCTACAGAACAGCATTACTGGTCACCTTAAACCACAATCCACATGACATATTGAAGTCTTGAATGTCCGTACCCTACCTTAAATTGGAAAAAACTTTGGCAACTTGGACAATGAATGTATGCTGTGTATGAGACACGCATATAGGACCCAAGCGCAGTTATTCACCTAACATCTCTCGGCCAATCTGGTGGATCCGCAAAACTCATCCTTCGAGTTTCTGGAGATTCGGTGGCTAGTTTTCGCGGTCTTGCAGGTGTAGGCATAGGATTAAGCACTAGGGCAGAAAGCTCACTACTAGACTCGATTACAGTTGACAGTCACCTATCCACTGTCCGGCTGAATGGTGCAGTGAAAAATAAAAGGAACAGTGAAACTCGCCGTTGTCTCTGTAATCTCTGCTTACGCACCAACTGACCGCACCCCGACCAACAACAGGGAGAGAAGTGGTTGAGTGAGTTGAACACTTCTCTTACCTGGGAAGTTGGATTGGCTCTGGTGTGTTGGTCAGTGGCCGACGAAATCTCTGCATGGATGTAAAAGCGATATCCAATTGTCTATTAAGGGTTGAGTGTACTGTGCTACATTTCGCTCTGTTCTACTCTACGGCTGTGAAACATGGACATTAAAGGTAGAAGAAATGAGAAGGCTTCAGATGTTTGACCACCGTTCCCTTCGCAGCATAGGCCATGTGTCATGGTGCCGCTACGTGACTAATGCAGAGGTCAGGGCATAGAGTTCCAGGGAGGAAAATCAGTTCATGTGGTTATGAACCTTCATTGACTGAGGTGGCTGGGGCTGGGACGTGCATTATCCATCCCTAACCACCGTCTGCCTCGTCACACAATGATGACCGAAGTAGGTTCAGGCTGGAAAAAGGTGAGAGCAGTCTGGACTAAAACACTCAATTAACGTATGAATTCTTTGACTGTTCGTTTAAGCTAAGTAGGGCAGTGAAGACTAGCTGGTTGGGGCCCACAGGACAAGAGGAACCACTAGTGCTTGGAGAATCTAGGTGACACGGCTCAAAACCAATGTCAGTGGAGCAGATATATACGCACATTTACCTCATCTTAACCACCACACTCAATCTCATGATTTTTTGATTTCTCCTTCCTCTATTTTACTACTCTCTACTTCATTTGACCGATTGTTCTTTCTTCATCTTTCATTTCATTGCCTTGTTACTTGATGTGCTGATATGAGGTGTGACAACTTGAACCGTTACGTATAAATGCCTGATCCTATGTTGACCATGATGACGAACGTGTCATCTACCTCAAAGATTGCCTGACTGACAGTAAACTTCTTACTACCGGCGATTCAGATGAGCTAGAACAGTTTCTAACCACAGTCAGATGTAGTTACTGATTTCATCTCACTGGCGTCTTCTGACTACAAACGTAGTGCTCTGTATGTAATCCCTATATAGTCTGTGCGTAAGGGACTAAAGTATAATGTTGTACTCGCTTTTCAAACGGACAGCACAACGAACGTCAAAAATTCTCAAGAAGCTCACAGAGACTAACATTTTAATGACGGAATGTTCTTCGAAGCTCCGAGCATCTTTACTCATCTTTTTATGGCATCTTCTATAAACAATCAGTGCTCATCTGTGTATACTGAAGGTTTGATACCCAGCCTTAGATTTAGCTCGGTTCGATACTTATTTACAGTACTGGCGACAACCTATTCTTTTACGTCTATCCATTTTGACGACCACCAAAATGCAAGATGAACTTAAAATACATCAGGGTATGATGTCCAAGCCATCTCAGTCGACTAAGGTACACGACCTTATCAACCAACTTGCCTACCTTGCCCAGTACCCTTCGCCTGACCTCAACATTGTTTACACGGTGATTTCATCATACGCAAATAATGCCGCAACGACACCTACAATCAAAAACTTGTAATCGCTTCATGTTGTCTACTTTTGACGCCCATGTATCACAACCATACAGTAGGACAAAAAGGACTCATCTTTTGACAGATAGCAGGATATCTTGATGGCTCCACAGGTGACGCAAGTTTGCAAATGCCGAACATGCCTTCTGTATCCAAGCTGAAATTCCATCAGCAACCATCCCGATCGGGCTGATGTAACTCCTCAAGTAAATAAAGTGGTTCACACATTCCACCACTTCACTTCCTATCATTAAACTGGGATTACTTACAACAGACCAGTCCTGGAGCATCATCTTACATTTGACAGGTGCCAGCGAGACATATGCCAAATATACTCAGATTTTTGTTCGACGCGTTCACAAGACCCAGCATTTTATCAGCGTCTCCACCTAGCGGGACAATTTCGTCTGTGCACTCCAAGTCAACCAGATGCCCTCCAAGGAGTAGATCAATACCTGTGAAGTCCGACGTACATAAGGTTATGTCCACTAGTGCGTCTATTACGAAGTTAAATAAGATTTCTGACAGTGGGCATCCCTGGAGAGCACCACTATTTGTTGTCAATTAACATGACAACTGTTCATAATCTCTTATACGGTTGTGTGAGTTCAGGTAGAGAGCTTTGATAAGCATCACATACTTGCTCGGTACTCCCTCTCGGTCCACAGCAAAGAGCTGGACAGAAAAAGAATGTTAATGAATAAGACAAGTGCATGACAACAGACAAAAAAAGTTGAACGGAGGTTGATGAGAATATCTCAAATTTCGATGACAAAGTGTACAACTCAGGGCAATTTTGATCGGTTTGAGACATCGACAAAAGTTCTCCATGAGAAAAATTGTCTCCTCAAACGGCTTAGATTGAGTCTGAGATTCATATTTTGCTCTGGATGCTCCAAACTTTCTACCAACGAAACAGACGACAGCTTGAAACACGAACCACAGGTATAGTCATTATTATTATTTGTCCTTTGGGTTCCTAGTGGAACATAGGGCTTCAGTAGCACATCTCTACTGCACTCTATTCTCTGCAGTCTTTTCAACCTGGCGCCACCACTGTCCACAACCTTTCATTTCTTCCTCACACTATCTCCTCCATGTCACCCTCGCCTCGGACGCCCAACTTGTCGTTTCCCCCTTGGATTCCACTCGACGGCTGTGCCTGTGATGTCTTCGAATGATCCCCTCAATGTATGCCCAATCCATCTCCACTTTCTTCTGCATGTCTGTTGGCCGATAGGTTCTTGGTTGATTGCTTCATTACCAGCCAGAGTTCCTTGTTGCTTTTTTTCTGGCCATTTGATCACCATCTTCAGCAATGAGCGAAGGCAACTATCGATGAGTGTTTGCATTTTGTTGGAAATGCTTTTCGTAACGCGCCTACTCTCTCAACCATCACATAGAAGCACTGACTTGACTGAATTAGTGTTGAAAATCCGGATGTTGTTCACGCTTTATGCTGAGTGCAGTGCGGTAGATCTCCATACGGATTTCAGATTAATGAAGCAAGGTCTGTCTTGATGTCTTTCGGATCCTGGCTTTGACATCCTCATCTGTGCCTGTGCCGCCTGTGGTTGACACGATGATGCCTAGGTAGGTGGAAGAGAATACTTCCTTTAGGTTTCTCCTGTTAACGGTTACTGGTGCTTGTTGTTGTTGGTAGGGTATCTTCATCATATCCGTCTTCTCTACATTCACTAGAAGTGCCGTTTTTGGTGCCTCTTCTGTCAACTTGTTGACTTTTGCCTGTAGAGCTTCTAGTTTGCGCTATATCAGACACAAATCATCGGCGAAATCCAAATCTTCCAGCCTCTTTTCAACGGTCCAGCCAGCGTATGCCCCTCTTCTTGCTTTCCGCGGTTTGCTGCATCATACAGTCCACCACAACCCGGAGGATGGTCAGTGAAAGTAGGCAACTTTGACTTGTCTTACTCATGTCTTCACTTCACTTCAAAAGCATCACTGAGATATCCATTGCGAGCTATCACTTGGCATGCAGCATCCTCATATAGCTGTTGGATGAGGTTGATAAAGGTTTGTGGCACTTAAACCGTAGTGTTGAAGTAGCTGCCTGTCAAATTACTTCTCGGTCGACGCTGTCGAAGGCATCTGCAAATTCGATGAAGTTGAGGTTGACTGCCACTTTATACTCTGTTTTATGATGATGCGTAGCGTAGCATTGCAGTTTGATCCCCACATGATTTGTTCTTCATGAAGCAAGCCAACCTGTCTCAGTCAAATTTGAATCTAGCCCATCCTTTAGTCTCTCCAGAATGATGCGGCTTAATATTTTGCTTGCTTTGGGTGGACAGGAGCATGATTCCGCACCAGTTCTTGCAAAGACTTAGGTCTCCCTTCTTTGGGAGTTTGACAAGGTAGCCCTTCTTCCAATCGTCAAGCAACTTTCCTTCCTAACAAACCTTCTGCAACAGTGGTGTGAGCATGTCCATAGTGGTCTCTGCGGCTGTTTTCAGCACTGCTGGTGAAATTCCATCTGGTCCTCCTGCTTTCCTGGCTTTCAGAAACTATCTGGTGTGGCGTTTAGAACTTCTGCTTTTGTCAGAAGGTTTGCGTTCACTGACAGTTTTGTGGCTGGACTGCTGGTGGACTCCATTTATTGCCCATTCTTAAACTAAGAGCCAGTGTAGACCAATCCTAAAACATCACCTTACATTTTACAGGTATGAAATGCAGATTAAAACAGACACGATTTTTATTAGAAAATTTAAAGAGACCCTAATCTTTTCTACTGTTCATTGATAAGGACTATGCAATCTACATACTGTATCATTCATATACTAAACCCCTGAGGATCTGGGAACATATAGGATCAGGAAAATTAGCATATGTGCTATAAGGGTGAATGGATGTTACGACAGTGGATATTACTGGTGGACATGACAGGTCATATCTACATCAAACAAAAACTAAACGTCAACCCCTTACGCGGTTGCATAAGATCAAGTGAATAGTCATGATTTGTATTGTCATTATAGTTGGAAATTATCAGGTGTCAACTGAAGGAACCAGATGATGCGATCAGGTGGGAAATAAGTCTAAGTGCTAGGTCCCGGTAAGCTCCTTTTATAGTTCAACACCTTCAGAAGGATGGAAATCTGATTTAATCCAGAATTAAGTGTGGGCAAATAAGTTTGTTCCATCATAAATGAGCAGCCACGTAATTTGATGTATCATTAACACAAAAACATTTGATCTCAGATTGAAATTCATTATGTTGTGACATCAGTTGGAGAACCATTGGGAACCTAGGAGCATTGGATAGCTGTTTCGTCCCAGTGCGAGGCTCCTCAGCGGTGCGCACCCATGGTCCGCCATGGACCAAACCCAGGACCTTCAGGTTCCGTAACTAGCAGGTTACCGTCAATGAGTCGGGAACCAATAGTTTATATTTCCTACTTCTCTCAGTTTACGATATACACACTTACTCAGCTTACCTCACGAGACAAGCGTTCTTCAACCAATTTCTTTAAGTAACCTGTCGTTCTTGTCACAGAATTTTTACATCGTTTTGCTTTTGGATTAACATCTACTAGAAATGTTTCGTTATCTGTCGGTGCTTGGTATGCTATCGGAGAGGCAGCTAAAACACATTTAGCGTACTCTGTAATGGACAGTTGTAAGCGACCACCAGTTGCCCAAACTGGGACGGAGTCTTTGCTGATAGCTGCAACAGACGACAAACTCGTTGGATCAGACTGAAACAGGAAAGCTTCACGTTTCTAGAAAGACAATGTATTTGAGAAAAAATCATACTCCCAACCAGCAAATTCTGCAAGACCATGGCCAAATTTCATTAAAGCTAGCTTGCGCTCTAATCTATCAAGTTTCATATAAAATACGTAGGAACTTACACATAGTTCATGGAAGCGAAAGAGAATCCAGGTATCAAATCGATTTCTTCATAGACATCGGGTGAGAGAAAAGGAACAGTACCTGAGAGAGATAAAGTTTAGGATCAGTTAACACTACAAACCATATCTTGTATACAGAAGACACCCTGGGGTGTTAAGACTTATTTTATGTGAATTGTCTGTAAGTGTTCCTAGACGCAGGGAGTCGCCTACAGTGCATACAATACTGAATCTAACCATTATCCACGCCTTCCCCGACCTTGAATTCCAATATCCAATATTGATAGTGCGAGCGTAGAAAACTGGTAGTTTTTGATCTCTCGCGTCTAGTTCTTAGGGCTTGGTTCCAGTTGTTCGGTTTACTCCTGCAGTGGACGAGGAAATCCCCTCTGCTTTCTTGCTTTTAGCTTCGGTGAGGTGGATGTTTTGTGGGTTAGTAGGTTGTAATTTGTAGAGTGATTAGGGAGCTACGGGTTGCTGGGAAGTTTAGAGAACTGCCATGACTCCTGTCTGTGTAGGTACCTGGAAGAGAATAGTAAGGTAGTGGTAAAGGAATGAAGAGAGAATAAAGAAGAGAGTGAAGTAGCACCATAGAGACTCTGGGAGCTGGGTTAAGGCCGTATCGCTAACCATCCTTGCCTTTAAACAGGAGTTTACGTAGATAGCCACTCCCCCTCCTGCTCTATGTTCCCTGTCCCTGCGGAAGAGTTCCATGCCAGCAACACGCATCTCTTCGTCGGAGATGTCCGATGAGAGCCAGGATTCGGTGATGAATATGATGTCGTAGTGCTGATGTTCACGCAGCGTCCTCATTTTTGCTACCTTCCCTATTAGCCCCCTAACGTTGCTGTACATACATATTAGAGTGTACCTGATGAGAGGGGAGGTCTGGATGTGTATTTTCGCGGGATGAGCGCTTACGTGGTTGAATTTAGCCTCGCCAGTCCTCATAGGACTGGCATTGTTCCGTTTTTTTGTGTTTTGTTCTTAACTTGGGTGGGGGCTGTAGCAGTGGTGGCTTCTTTACTTGATGTATCTAACTCACTGGTCAGCGCCTGTGTGACGACCACTGACTCCAGAGGTCTTGGTGGTTGCCGTCTCTCCTCTTGCCTTGTGGGTCTAGGCTTACTTTCACATATACGTATTGAGCCACCCATGCGATCTTTCGCATTATACCATGCGTGCAGAACGTCTGTGAGGGAGGCATATGAGTCGAACTGGACGGCAAGTAGTCTGGGATTGGGTATGGTCTTCAGGTGCGCTGGCCTTGGCAGTCTACTGACGCTGTTGGCCGGTATACTGTTGAGACCAACTTTGGTTGAGAGCCATTGCCATTGTTGGACGTCGTGAAAGTACCGATCTTTGACCGAGCTGTCACTTGGCAATTCTGGAATCCCATGTACAACTATAGTGTTGTTTCTGTTGGGATTTCCAACCGCTGACTTTCTCTCCTCCTCTCTTACTGACCATGGCTTGTCAGGCCTGGCCCGAATTTTACAGGCATTAACAACGTCCGGTTGTCGCGAGAGGAGGAGTGTGTCTTCAGCCTCTTTGGCGGTATTTAGGGACACACGTAAAGGGGGTGGCTTATCTCGGGGTGCATGGCTTCCTCGAGAAAGGCGACACAAAGTTGCAGGGAGGGGAGGGAGTCCCAGCATCTGACAGTAGTCGGTCCACATTCGGCTGTCAAATTGTTCCCTCTCGACCAACAATGAGTCTGTCGATACATCGACGTTGAACAAAATGATCGAGTTGGTCCTCCTGTGACCTGGGTTCGTTGTGGGTGGCACGCCCGACTTCCCAATGGGTTTGAGTAATTCCACTGGTTGTTTCTCAGTCACGGTGTGTGGGGTGTTCGGAATGGGTTTCGTAGAGGCTTCGGCGGTCGATGTCTTTGGCCATGCGCTTGACGTCCCCTGGGGCCGGGTGGGGGTATGGAGACTTGACCTAATATGGTCCCCACGCGAGGTGGCGTGCCCACAGCTGGAGCTCTAGGTCTGTTTCCAGGTCTCTCTGTGTTATCCTTTGGTGTTAACCCTACTTATTCGAGGATGCTGGTAGCTTTTGCGTGGCGGAGAGCATCTCCTTCAGGCTTTCTGTGCGGAGTGCGGGCATTTTCCTGCACTCTGGACAGATGTACCAGAACCACTTGCATGGTTGTCTCTTCATCAGCTTATAGTATTGTCGGGGGACTTTGGTATCGCAGTGGCAATGCGCCCATCGTTGACACAGGTTGCATGCAAATGCCTCATCGACTACCGAAACAACTTTGGTGCAAACACTGCAGCCATCGGGTGTCGTAATACAGCCTTCCTTCCATGAATAAGGTGCTACGGATTGTGGCGAACTGCTTGTGGCTGCCTTGTTCTGAAGCCTTTTACGTCGTCTTCTATTTCAGGCATGGTATGATCCTTGCTCAAGATAGGACTAGTTTGTGACGGGCTAGTGCTACTCTGTGTCACCTGTCTGATGGCGACTGGAATTCTAGAAACATGGGTTGGCCACTTCTTTAGAAGTTCGGTGTTCTGCCCTACCTCTGTTTGTCTTCTAGTACAGACTAGTGTGTTGTTTAGGGTGTTACTGGCCGTTTTTGTGCACGACCGCGTTATCCGTGTCAAAGCTTCAGACCTAGCGTTTTGGGCAGACATGTCGCTATGATATAAACTTCTTGGGAAAACAAGTAGTTAACAACAATAAGAGGGTTGAAGACTGAATGCAGCAAAAGGACAGAATAGAAAAGGGAAGATAATTTATGTTGGCTCACCTTCAGACACTTGTCACTTGATCCTCTGCTCTTGACCAACGAGTTTAACCGTAAGCTCCAGATGCGTATGTATAACCAGGAAAGATATTTCCTGGGGAATGACCTCCGAGGAGAACCGAGAGCTAAGGCAGTTTGGCAGTTGAAACGCCCAAGAACCACTGACAGGAGGTAGACCGGTTGGTTCAAAGGAATAATAATGCCAATTTTCAACTGTTGAGGAGTGAGCTGACGAATGCGCAGGGGTGAGGTGCGTGGACGGACAGAAGTGCTGCAAACGTTCGATGTTTTTAGATTGAGTATTGCAAGTGGGAGTTTTTCATTGTGGAAAAATCCAAAAGCTGAGAGACGAGCGAAACACGTCACTACTCACTACTCAAGCAGCAAGATAACCCTGACCTCGAACTTTAAACTTCAAACTTCGTGTTGTAGAATTAGTGAACGGCGGTTTCTTGAGTTATACGTCTGTCTGATTGGAACACCTTCTGAGTTTGGAATGGCCAAAATTATCGTCCCGGTTATGAAAAATCTGAAAGAATAGAGATATGATTACCAATTAGTCTGGTCTCAAGGTAGCATTACTGCATCTAATCTTCAAGGCGCTGCTTTTGATAGGAAGTGTAATCTTACCGTGATTTAGCAATTTAGCTTTTGTTGCGTCGAAGGCAACAATAGCTCAGGTTTTCCGTAAGATTATTCTCTCTAGCTTCCAGTTCGACAAGTTTACCCTTCTTTACGTATAATTTTGTTCATAATGGGATAACGGGGCTTTACCTCTGTCCCAGTTTTGGTTTGATGTGATAACGTTTAGGTTACTACTCTTTTTCAAGCTTCTCCAGAGTTTAAGTTTTCAGTTTTTTATATTTAAATATATGCCCTGTTTATACTTCCAACAAAAATGATGGCCAAACAGATGTGCAAGAGGCAACGCTGTCGTCAACCGGTTCAGGCGGGTATGCAATGTGACACGTGCGACGGATGGTTCCATAGCGCTTGCACTGACCTAGCGCAAACTGAGGACACCAAACTCAGTAGGCTCGGCCGCGAGTGGCATTGTCGCCTGTGTAGATCTTCACTTGACGATGTTCTTGAAAACATCATCAGCATGTTATCGGAATTAAAAAACTGACTGAAAGTAGATCATAAAAGGGGGAAGCTGGAAAACTCAAAAGCGGTGCCTAAGCACGAGGGTTATAAAGCTAAAAAATCGTCTGGTGGAAAAAGTGCTCAAGCGACTCGATAGGAGCCAGGGTCTGGTTTGACGGGGGACATGACGCACGTCAGTAGTGCAATAACATCAACTGCCCTACAGTCCTTCACTCGGATTTTGTCATCGACAGATGAGGCGCCGAATGAAACGGTTATGCCAAACAATGATGGTCAAGATGGAGAATGGGTAACCACTGTGTGGAATAATAACAAGCGGGTTTCAACTCCAGTCAAACCCATCGGGTCCGGGAAGGTGAGAAACTCAGGGAACGAACCCAAGTTGGGTGATCTGGAAATCAGGGAGGCTAAACATGAGTCCTTAGGAAAGTGGAATGGACATCAGACCATGCGAGTCACTAACCAGCTTGTCAGACAGGCAAACATGTTGCCCACAAACGGGGGCAAAGTTGGAGAAAAGATGAAGGCTCAAAAAAAACGACCGAGCGTCAACAGTTGACGGGACGTACCAATGTCCGGAATGATTCCTTGATCGTCATGAACCTGACAAACAGCCCTGAACTCCCATGTAGCCTTTGGGACAAGAATGATGGGGTTCTTTGGAAGAACATTTGCAGAAAACTCAAGCTGGACTACATAAAACCAGTGGCCGCAACTGGGCTCTCTCGCGGTCCCGACCCAATAACTAAGGGCAAACCCCATCTTTTGAGGCTCACATTCTGCAGCCCAGAGGATATTGAGGATGCGCTCTTGGTATTTCACGCGCTAAAAGCTGGAGCGGAAGTTAGGATACTGCCGGACACCCCACATTCTGAGAGAAAAGCTCTAGAGAATCTGTCGGACGACAATCGTGGCGCCTACTTCAGAGGAAGAAACCTAGTCGTGCAAGGCATACGAGAGAATCCAGGCAAAGAGGATATTCACCACGATTCTCGCGGGTGGAAGTCACTGAAGAATACCATGAATCTGAAGGAAGTAATCGCTCAAAGCGTCTCACGCATGCCCGAAAAAGACTATGACGCCGGACCGAGGCTGATTAAAGTGGTCTTTCCGACCTCTCAAATGGCAGCATCCACACTGGAGGCTTTCTGGGAGAACAGGAATCATCTGCCATCTGCGATCCGCACGTGGCCTCGTGGATCGCAGCACGAAAGGCTGCAACGAAAACAGAAAGAACTGGGACTAGTTGTGTTTCTGGAAGACTACCTAGATGCAAAAAACGGGGAAGGGGCGGGGAACACTACACTAGTAGTCAGCAATTAGGCACATTCTCAGCCCCCACACCTGAGGATCCAGCCAGTCAACTGGAAAA